GCTCACACTGTCTCTCTCTCTCTCCTAGAAATAAATAAAACATTTAAAAAAAAAACTTAAAAAAAGAAAAAGCTTTAAGTATTTGGAAAACATCACAATCTGCTCCATGGTTTTGCCATCCAGCAAATCTGCTTCCTCCACTGTGAAAAAATACAATAGGCCTTAGGGCTGTGACAGTTTCCTATCATGTTTACAAAAGCTAGAAGCCATGTATGTTGCTCAATAAGGACGGTATTTTACACAGACTGATATACAACAGAAACTTGCCACGACAATAAAAAGTTTTTTTGGTAAATCACTTTCTGAATATTACTCCTCCCGCAAAAGGATCATAAAAACCACCACCAAGGAAAACAAAGAATTCCCATATTTTTAAAGCAAGAAAGGACTGGCCATTCATAATCACGCACTACCAAGTGTATCAACCAAATATGAGCACGATCACCTAAAAAGTGGTTAAAATGCCCAGTTGTGCCTCTGTGTGGTTAGTGAGCTCATGTTTTCCCAATGTGAAATTTACAAACGGTATCTGTGAAACTGTATTTCAGACTTTAAATCCTAAATCTGTACCTTACATTTGCTTGGAGATGATTTACTCCAGACATCTGGGGTCACAGTATAAGCCTTTTGGTCTTACTAAATCTAAATCATGCTTCTCAACAAGGCTCTGTACACATAAAAGAAACACATGGCAGGCCGTTACCATCCTCCCCAGAGGCGCCTCCACACCCCCAGAGCAGCCCTTCTCACTGTCCACTCCATAAACTAAGATTCTCCTCAGAAAGGGAAGGTGCCGGATTCACACGCTGCACCAGGCATACAAATTAAGCAAGAGCGCTCCAAAACTTCTCCTGCTTCGATTTATGACAAGATTTCCTGAATTCATTTTATTAAAACAGACAGCTTCATCCAACAGACGCACTCAAAAACCCAAACTAATTTCAGCAGCAAAATGGTAGGAATGAGCAGTTGACAGCGAAGTATAAATTTCCCCAAAGCCTCGTTTTACCAGTTAACCTAAGGGATCAGTTCAGCATTTAATTCGAAGTGTGCCAAGACGACAGTGGCCCACCGAGCAAGCAACTAAGAGCTGCAAAGACAGGTCTGTTCCTGCGCCTGGGAGGCATCTGGGGAGCACTGCTGGACAGGCAGACAATGAAAAGCTCCCCGGTGGCCACTAGTCGAGCCCGCGGGGGCGGAGGGACGGAGGAGGGGAGAGAACTGAGAGCCCTTCTCACCCAAAGCCGCGGTCAGAGGCTGCCTCTCCGGGGCGCGGGGCGGCCTGGCCCCGGGAGTCCTGGGTCACGGGGGGAGGGGTCCCCTGAAAAGCAGATTTCTCTCGGAGAGAGGAAACTTCCTGGTTTGGGCATTATGGGTAGGGGGCGAGCGCCACCCCCCTACCCCCCCCCCACCACTACAGGTATCCGCCGGGAGTCTGGAGACTGAGGGAAGGAAGCAGCCCCTCCCCGTGCCCACGGCGAAGAGTGGGGGTCATGGGGTCGGGACCCCCGGCGCAGCCACCCCCTAGGCGAGGCTCCCGACGTGTGGGTATCTGGCTCTAGGCTCCTCCGGACGCAAGCCGGGGTCGGGGGCCGGAGGGTGTCAAACTTCCCCCGCGGGCGCGGCCTGGCACCCGCACCGAAGAGTTGCCACGGGAGCCCCAACCCGGCGGGGTCCTCGGACGGGGGCGGGCAGAGACAGAGGAAGGCGACACTGAGGGGCACGAGGGGAAGCGTGTGCAAAGATACAGGAGCCGGGCCTAGGAGCCGCATGGGTGCGCGGGTGGGGCCGGCGAGCACCCCGCTGCCCCGAACGCGCGGGCTGCGCACCCAGGCCAGGGGCGCCGACGAGGCCCGCGCCGCTCACCTTCCTGTGCTTCTCCTTGTAGGGCAGCGCCAGCCAAGGCATGTCCCGCACGAAGTCCTGCCACTGCCGCTGGTCCTGGTCCGAGGACACGAAGACGATCTCCAGGCGGCGCCGCTGCTCGGGCTCCGCGGCCGCCCCGGCCCCCGGCCCCGGCCCGGCCCCGGGCCCCGCCGCGGCGTCCCCCCGCAGGCGGCCGTAGAAGGCGGCCAGGCTGCCGCTGAGCTGCGCGCAGGGGGCGCTCAGGCTGCAGCCGAAGTAGAGCCCGAGCAGCGAGATGCCGCGGGCGCCCAGCGAGTGCACGTCCACCTCCTCGCCGCCACCCGTCACCAGCTTCTCGCCGAGCAGCTCCTCCAGGAAGCCCGACATCCTGGCCCACCGCAGCCCGGGCACGCGGGCGAGCTGGCGGCGGCGACCCCGCTCCCTCGGTCCTCGCGGCGGGCGGAGGCGGCGGCGACGGCTGAGGCGGGCGGCGGGCGCGGGGCAGAGGAGAGCCCCGCCCACCAGGCCCGCCCCCCGCCCGCCCCCCTCCGGCCCGCCCCCGGCCCGCCCCCTCCGTGGCCGTCCCGGGCCGCGCTCTGGGCCCCAATCCGCCGCCGCGGGCGAGCCGGCGCGGGCTTCCACCGCGTGGCCGAGCTGCTCGGGAAAGAGCCCCGGCGAGAAGGCGGGCCGGAAACGCCCCCCTCTGAGGGCACGCCGCGCGCTAAGTGCCGAGAGGAGAGGGGTCCGCCGAGCCCGCCTCTCCGAGGCTGCAGTCCGCGCGGAGCGGGCCTGGGCCCCCGCCCTCCGAACTCTCCATTCTCTCCGGACTTCTCCAGACATTCCCACAGCCCGCCCCACCCGAGTGCTCTCTCTCCCTCGCTCGCTCGCTCGCTCTCCCTGTCTCCGCGCAAGGCCTAACCGGCCATTTCGTACCCCCCCTCGCACTGCTTACGGGACTCAGCATCTAAACACAATCACCGCTTCACCAGCCTGGGGCTTGCTCGCGCGGATTTCTCTGCCGTGTGTTTTGTGTACGTGTTGTCTGCTTAAGAGGCCTGGAGGACGCCACCTCTCGCTGTTCGCCGGCAGCTAGGCACGCGTGGGAGAGTCCAGGAGACCGGCGAGTGGCGGGTCCGCTGTGGGAAGTTCAGTCCCCAGGTCGCCGCGAGTGGCTCTCTTCCATCCCCGCAAGGGTACGCGACAGACGCCGCAGCAGCTTTCAATCGATGCTGGCTGCGCTCCTGAATCGGTTCCACAGCTTCTATCAACGCTGCTGATAGTTAAGAAAAATTCTAGGAATTTTTTTTTTTTTTTTGGCCAGCTGGCAAGATGCTACCCTACGCTGAGATTGAACAGGTGGTCTGTGGCAAGACTTCCCGCCTCTCTCTCCCTCTCTCTCTTTCTCTCTCTCTCTCTCTCTCTCTCTCACACACACACACACACACACACACGAAAAAAATGCATACCGTGCCAACCCGCAATAGGACAGGACCTTCAGTGTGTGTGCTCCGCTACCAGCAACCCCGTGAAAGGAAAAGACGTCCCCTCCGCCAGGCCTTTGCAAGTTATTTCTTGGGGATCTACCGCCATCTAATGGGAAGAGTGAAAAAAATTAGATCTGCCGGAGCCCAGTATGTGAAGAGATACTGGCAAGCAAGCAAAGTTATTTCTGTTATTTTATAGCGGCTTTCCACACACACAGACACACACACATACACACCATAGCACACTTTACAAGAGTTCATTTAAGCCTCAGTATCATCACAAGATTTTGGCACAAATTTTCATGCCTAAGGTTCTCAATTTTTCGAGGCTAGAATAAGGAATCGTGCCGATTTTCAGCTCACTGAAGTGTTAACCACACAAACTGATGGAGGAGGTGGAGGTGGGAGCCTACAGTGGATTGGCAATCCTAAAAATTACAACCGCTTTCTTAGTATCCTTTAATAGAGCTGCTCATTTCAGGAGAAGGATCTTTGGATTGAAGACTGCCTTTAAACAGGCAAGAATCCTATCACAAAAGGCAAATTCTGAGGGAAGTCTTAAAGTGTCATGCCAAAATTTTGTGCCACTGCAGGGACAGTCTTAAAACACAAATAAAGCATCACTTTTTAGTGAAAGTTTATTAAAGCTATGAACATAACAGACATTAAGTTATCATATACCTTTAAAAATCCTGAAAGCAGGGGCGCCTGGGTGGCTCAGTCAGTTAAGCATCCAACTTCGGCTCAGGTCATGAGCTCATGGCTTGTGAGTTTGAGCCCTGCATCTGGCTCAGTGCTGCCAGCTCACCTGGAGCCTGCTTCAGATTCTGTGTCTCCCTTTCTGTCTGCCCCTCCCCTGCTCGTGCGCACTCTCTCTCCCTCTCTCTCTCTCTCAAGAATAAATAAATATTTAAAAAAAAATTTATTCCTGAAAGCAGGGGTGCCTAAATGGCTTAGTTGATAGACCCCCACGACTTTTGATCTCACTCAAGTCCCACGTTGGACATAGAGATTACTTTTTCAAAAGGGGGAAAAAATCCCCAAAGGCAGTTAAAATGCTTTGTCTTCTCATCCAAATTATATTTGAAATACTCGTTGGTGGGTTAAATTAGGCACCATTGAAATCGTGTGAGAAAGATAGATCCTACGTTCTGACATTTTCAAATGAGCACTGAAGAGATATAAAAGGACTATAAATAAGCATTTACATCCTATGGAAGCCAAAGGTGGGGAGGTAGGTGAAATGGGAATTCGGGGGATTGCCACGTTGGGAAAAGAGTGAAGTCATTATTAGCATACTTAACTTTGGTCCACTTGGTGCAAGTCTGATATAAAGAGGCAGCTTGTTCAGCCTTTTACTTTTATTATTTCACAGGAAAGCACTTTCCACTGGAGTATATCCAAACCAGCATCTGGCACCTGGGAAAGTGAGAGTTTGAGCATACTGCACATGAAATATAAATAAAATTTAGAGAATTGTTGGTGCAGCAGGCTTTGGTTAGAAGCCAAATATCACAGCTGCCTTTTAAAGGGGTGTGGAAAGAGGGGATTTGCAATGGAAATGATTCCAAAATCATAATTCTAGTGCGTGTTTGTTACAAGAAGAAGCCCAAGGAGACTCATTTGGCTTCCTGTAAAGAATAGCCAACATCCTTTGGCTTATGAAAAGCACTCTCTCTGCTTATGCAGTTCAAGAGACCCACTTAAAGATAATGTCCCTACCGGTACTTAGCTAGTTACATTATATGAGTTGACTGGCTACTCTGAAAATTATTATTGTATTAAAATATGTATTAGGGAACCACAATGTGCCTGTCTAACACTGTACGGAACATACACATTTACAGAATTTCCCTTTTGAGCAATTGCATTCTAAAACGCATGATGCTATACAAAACAGGTACTGACATACATGACATACACACACATATTTGTACACACATATATGTCACGTTTAAGATTCACCAAGACCATGTTCCTTGGTCTTCAGGTCGAGTAGCAGACATGCACAAAGATGCATATGGACAGATATTTACTGATACACTGGTGAAATCAGAAAAAGACTGGAAAATTGGAAGAACTTAATTGTGCATCAACAAAGATGACTAAATCATAGGAAGTTCATTATTTGAAATACAATCTAGTCATTGAAAAGGATTAAGGAAAACTCAATGCATGCTGTATTAGACCATGTTCTCCAGAGAAATAGAACCAATATATATAGTGATTTATTGTAAGGAATTGGTTCACATGATTGGGGAAGCTGAGAAGTCCCAAGATCTGTACTCAGCAAGCTGGACCCAGGAGAGATGATTAAATAGAGTTCCAGTCTGAGTACAGAGGCCTGAGAACCAGGATAGCTGAGGGTGTGAGTTTTAGTCTGAGCCCAAAGGTAGGAGAAGACCTGTGTCCCAGCGTGAAGACAGGCAGAGAGTACGAAGTCTCCCTTACCTGGGTCTTTTATTCTGTTCAGGCCTTCATCCAATTAAACAAGGCCCACACAGGGGAAGGCAATCTCCTGATTCATATGTAAATCTCATCCAGAAACACCCTCACAGACACACCCATAATGATGTTTAACCAAATATCTGGGCACCCTGCATCCCGGTCAGGTTGATACATAAAATTAAATATCACAGGTCAATCCCTTGTCAACCTGGTATCTATAAGCATCTCCTGAAACCATGCCTACTCTCCAAAAAAGACAATGACAAGATCACAATTCCACCTAACATGATACAAATATCCCGCGTGTAAGAAAAAACGCACTAACCTCTTCTCCATAAGAGGAGATCAAGTTCTTTTTCTTTTTTTTTTTAATGTTTATTTATTTTTGAGAGACAGAGAGACAGAGCATGAGCAGGGTAAGGGGAGAGAGAAAACGAGACACAGAATCTGAAGCAGGCTCCAGGCTCTGAACTGTCAGCACACAGCCCGACACTGGGCTTGAACTCATGAACGGTGAGAGCATGACCTGAGCCGAATTCGGCCGCTTAACCAACTGAGCCAACCAGGTGCCCCAAGAGGAGATAAAGTTCTTGAGTGACTTTACTCCCCTCCTTATCTGGTAACTTGAATGCGATAATTTTAAATTAACAATACTTAAGTATATCTCTTTTTTAATGCTTATTTATTTTTGAAATAGAGAGACAGTGAGCGTGAGCGAGGGAGGGGCAGAGAGAAAACAAGACACAGAATTCTGAAGCAGGCTCCAGGCTCTGAACTGTCACCACTGAGCCCAAAGCAGGGCTCGAACTCCCTGACTGCAAGACCATAACCTGAGCTGAAGTCCAACGCTTGACCGACTGAGCCACACAGGCACCCCAATACTTAAGTTCATCTTATGTTACTTTTTAAGTGAATAAGAGAGGGAAGAAGTAAAGATGTTTGCCAAATATATATGTATACGCACAACCTCATAACAATATAAGACAATGACAATCAAGTGAACACATAAAATTAACCATCACATACACTAACATGAAATATCCCTAAGATGTAGCATGAGAGGAAGTAAGGTGCACAATAAGTAGGAAATACTAAGATACCACCCATAGAGTTTTAAGTGGAGAAAAAAATATATATATGTACACACAAATATGCTTTTACAGGGATGAAATGTATCTGAAAAGACATTTAAGAAATAGTAACAAGTTGCCTGGGGAAGGAAATTGAAGCACTAGAAATAGGTGTGAGAAAAATATGGAAGATTATTATTTTAGCCCAAGAAAAAAGCTTTTTAAATTTTCAAATAAGGACTTACTCAAAAGATAAGATACTAGGGGCACCTGGTGGCTCAGCTGGCTAAGCATGTGACTTCAGCTCAGGCCATGATCTCACGGTTCGTGGGTTCAAGCCTCACATGGCACTCTCTGATGTCGGCGTAGAGCCTGCTTAGGATTCTCTCTCTCCATCCCTCTCTGCTCCTCCCCTACTTGTTCTCTCCTCTCTCTCTCTCTCTCTCTCAAAATAAATAAATACACTTACAC